TGATGAGTCCACCTCATGATCTAACGGGACAATGTTGAGAATCGGCTATTCTGGCGTTACGTGGGCGTGAGGCGAAGCAAGTGCGTGGACGCAACGGAACCCCGAGAAACTCACTCTTTTACTGATCATAAAGGCACCAAGATTTCTCCTGCACTTACTCTCAATTTCTCATCACACTGGTGTTTCAAAAATTTGAACTATGCAGGAAGCAAAGAAAGTCCCAGATGTGATGCTGAATTCTGGGCACAAGATGCCGGTGATAGGGTTGGGAACGGCGACTGCTCCTCTTCCGCCGCCCGACGAACTCACCGCCGTCTTCCTCGACGCCATTCTTATTGGCTACCGGCACTTCGATACCGCTGCTATCTATGGAACCGAACAGCCTCTGGCAAAGCCGTGGCCGTAGCTATAGAACAAGGTCTCGTCAAGAGTCGCGACGAATGTTCATTCACTTCCAAGCTCTGGAACACCGACGCTCATCCCGATCTTGTTCTTCCAGCTCTCAAAACATCCTCCGGTCTGTCTACTTCTATCTTTCCCAGCTTTGGTATTTTTTTCTCACGCGGTATACTGTGTCTTCTATATACTCAAGCATGTGCTCTTTACTGCTCTACGGGAGGCAAAGATGTGTTTTCTTGTTATTTTGAGATCAGGTGAAAGCGGAGTAGAACTTACTCTCCAGATAGAATTGACCAGAGAAGTAGTGATATGCTGAAAACGTGCAAGAATAAGTTCAGTTTTTAGACAAAAATTGCGATTGTCCAAATTTAGTTAAAGGTTTAGTGAGAATAAGCTTTTTTTTGGTGTTGGTCCAGGGTAGCACCAGTTTATTTGAAAGATCGAATCCTATTCAGCTGAACACGTCAGACAAAAAAAAAAAAAAAACATATACGCGGTATTTTTTGCCAAGTGGGGGGGAGACCTGCATTATTTAATTCTTCATCGTACCAACTTACTATAAATATTATATTTTATATGGACATGTTGATATTGTGATTTTGTGTGTTCTGTTTTTTATTTCCTTGTGTATCCTCTTATTGTTGAGGCCTCACCATTTCTTTAACTCCAATGACTTGTTCGGACTCCTGGGTTGGAATTGTGTAGAAATCTGGGGCTGGAATATGTGGATCTGTATCTGATTCACTGGCCAGTGAGGTTGAGACCAGGGGTTGAAGGTTTCAATTTCACTGCGGAGGACGTTGCTTCCGTTTGACATAGAAGGAACATGGAAGGCCATGGAAGAATGCCACAAATTGGGCTTAGTCAAGTCTATTGGGGTCAGCAACTTTGGCACCAAAAAGCTTACCCAGCTCTTAGATAATTCTGCAATCCCTCCTGCAGTTAATCAGGTGCGTATGTGCATGCATAGACTCTTTTTTTTTTTTTTAGCATTTTGTTATAAATTTTCCAATAAAAACAGCTGATTTCTTTTTTCAATTCAACTCTAATTAATAAGTTATCGTTAAAGAATTTTGTAGTATATTCATAAACAAATTCTACTGTAGTGGCTCTCATTAATTTTGACTTGGTAGTGAAGGGTGCTGAATGGTGATTTTAGGTGGAAATGAACACATCATGGCGTCAGGGAAAAATAAGACAGTTTTGCAAGCAGAAAGGGATCCATGTGAGTGCATGGTCACCTCTAGCAGCATACGGATTACGTTGGGGCTCCAATGCTGTGATGGAGAATCCAGTCCTTAAGGAAATTGCTGAGGCTAGAAAAAAAAATATAGCTCAGGTTCAGTACTGCAGCTTTCAAACTAAATATTTCCAAATGCAGCTTTCTTCGTGCCAACAAGTTTCATATATACCAAAAATCCTTTTTCTGGTCTTTTGATCAAAAATGGTTTCATTGTCATTTTGTTAAATGATATAGAGCAAAGGATCTAACTCAAAACTACTTGCTAATTATCCATAACTTCACCAACTAGAGCATTACTTGCTAGTAGCTAATAATGACACTAATAATGACCCATGTTTTCAAGGACCGAAATCGGACGCTCCTCAAGAAACTAAGATATAACCTCTATTTCCTTTTGCATGTGCCCAAAATGTAGTTCTTCATTCCCGTCATTCTTGAAGCTATTTTGACATATTTGAATTATAAATCGGTAACAGGAATTCCCAGTTTCCAAGTGCCAGAAGGTGCCCTAACATGTATAGAGAAGTAGTAAAGTACTTTTTGTTCTAATGACAGAAAGTAGCAGTGAGGATCCATCTCTAGAACTAAAATGAAGGGTGATAGACAGAACCAGAGTGTTCATGAATCATAATCTTTTTTGCTCTTTCTAACTCTGTATGCAGATAGCAGTGAGATGGATATACGAGCAAGGGGCTAGCGTTATAGTGAAAAGCTTTAATAAGGAGAGGATGAAACAAAACCTAGAAATATTTGATTGGGAGCTAAGCAAAGAGGAATCAGACAAGATCAACCAGATTCCACAACGCAGGATGTACGCGGGAGAAATGTTCCTATCTGAAAATGGGCCTTACAAGTCCTTAGAAGAACTCTGGGACGGTGATATCTGAATCAAACCTCATTCATATGCAGCTTGAGGAGAATAATAGTTAATAAAGTCCTTAGAAGAACTCTGGGACGGTGATATCTGAATCAAACCTCATTCATATGCAGCTTAAGGAGAATAATAGTTAATTAACTATGATTCTCCTTGAGAGAAAACTGTAAATGAGTATACTTCGAGATGTGGACATCATATATAGCTATATTCTCTTGTACTTTCTTTCCAAATAAACAAGGGAAACTTCAGCAAAGGATCCCTATAAGGGTTTAATTGTAAATAGAAAATAATAGAATGTGCAAATGTAACGTAGGGATCTAAGAGACTGAATTGAAAATATATTTTGATAAGAAATAATTAAAATATCCTTCATTTTTTATTAAGTTAAATTAAGATTCTAACAAGTAAATTTTATATTTTAACAAGTCAATAAGATTAAATATGCAAAAAGTATTGTTAACAATTTTTTTTTAATAAATTTACAAGTGCTACTTTGTTTTTTAATAAAAGAAAAAATTATCTTATATTTCTTTTCTTTTATAAGAAAAATTATAACATTTTAAAAACATTTATCACATTTTTTTTAAATTGTTCTTCATAATGTCAATTTTTATTTTTACTAGACAAATTTATTTCATTAATTATAGAGATAATTTAGTTCAATCTCATACATAATTATTATACTTAATAATTTTTTAAACTGTGTGAATTGGTTATTTTATATTTTATTTAAAAATAGAGAGAGTACATATTTCTAAAATGATAAGTTATATTAATATATTAACAAACTGCTTTGTATTGTAACAAGCAACTAATGATATTCACAAGAAGTTTCATGACTTGGGGGCTGAGGGCCTCGTTTTCACAAGAGATTGTTAACTTTAGTATCTTAATTTATATAAATTAAATAAAATTAAGTAGAGTAATATGCATATCTAAAAAAATTTATGATTGATTGTAATTTCTCGATTACATCAAATATAAAAAGACACACAATTCACTAAATTCCTGTAGTTTGCAGAGAATTCAAAAATAATGGAATAAGTGAAAACTATCGTGTGTTTGCGGTTATCAATTAATCAGCTTATATGAGCTAGATCAGTAACTACTTTAATAAATTAATTAATTAATTAATTATATTTTATTATCTCCAGTCAGTTAATAGATAGAAAATAACTGATGGCTATAAGATTGTAGGTTGAATCTCTACCTATTGGGCTCACTAATATGGTTCACCTATTACGGTTCACACAAAATTATAAAAACCAATCTATTTAAGCTTATTAATTAATGTAAGTGCATAAATAAATATTTCAACAGTCAGGGCTTCAACCCCCTCCTTCTGTGAGATCATTGAGTTTCTTCCCTTATTGAGTGTTTTTTTTTTTTTAATTAACAAGTAGTGCATTAATCCAACTAAGAGATCAGTTCTCAACTTGTATCTTAGCCTTCTCATCATCCACCATGTCTGGCACCCTTATTAAGTTTTAGAAAAAAAACATAATTTAAAATCTTTGTATTTTGTTTAAATTTTGTTACAAGTTTTTACTATTTTTTTTTTAGTATTCCAGATCTCTAAACTTTTCTCTTTTAGGTTCCTATAATACTGTTAATGAAAAGACATAAAATGTCGAAGGAAAAAAAGTATAAAATATGAAACATTGAAAATAAAAATATAAAAATTTATAATAAAATTTGAGCAAATTACATAAACATAAAGTTATCTTTTCCTTAAGTTTTATGACCCAAAATGAAGAGGGGTCGGGGACCACTATGAAGCCAATCAACTTTTCATGGTTTCATTCACGTATAAACTATATGTCCATTTTTACCCAAAACAAAAAATTTATCTGTTCTTTTTTTTTTTTTCCTTCTAGAATGCTCTCGTAGTTCTCGTCTCATCTACGTTCTTTTTTGGAAAACATCTACATATTTTTTTTAAAAAAATCTACATATTTTTTTGGGTCCTTAACAAATCTGTTTTCTGTGAAATTCATGTAGGCCATATCCGAGAATGGCGGGAGGCACTCGTGCGTTCAAATGCTCAAAAAAAGTAGTCGGCCTCTCTCCTTCAAAAAAAAATCTCATCTGCCTCTCTTTTAAGACAGAAAAAAAATTTAGACGTGAATAATTTAAATTTAATAATTTTATTTTTTATTCATATTTTTAAAATAAAATGTATAAAAATTGTAAATAATTTTAATAATATATATATCGATTTGACAGTCTAAGTTTAATATAGATAATTCAAATTTAATATAAAAAAATTTAAATTGACTTTTTAAATATATTCTGAACCATGTAAAAATATTCCGAACAGAACGGTAAGTTTATTAAAAAAATTTAATATTAATTTTGGACCGTCTATATTAAATTTAAATTGTTAGATTAATAAATATATTTATTAAAAATTTTACAATCTTTATCTATTTTTTATTTTAAAAATATAAATAAAAAATAAAAATATTAAATTTAGACTGTCCAAATTTAAATTAAACTTTTGTCTCAAAGGAGAGGCATAGGAGGCTTCTCTCAAAAGTTTCAAAAAATATTAATAAGGATAGCCACAATAAAAGTTAGGACTAAGATTCAATTTTACTGTTATACTTATTTTTTTAGGAGTGCTGGATACCTATATTTTTAAGTGAAACAATTTTTCCATGAAGTATTTTTTCAAGGTCCAAAAAAGCCCTTATGTTTGAAGGCAGTTAATTTTGCCATTTTTTGCTGACATGAGATCCACGTACAATAACAAATAAGACTTTGATCATATTTTTTTGTGTTAATTTGTATCTAAACTCTTTTTTCAAGAATGTTGGGCACCCTAAAATCTTTTTATAGGAGCAATAGGTACCTTGAAATCTTATTAAAATAAAATTTAATTAATATTGTCAAAATACTAAATATTTTCATATTTAATAATTTAAATATTATTATTTATAAATATTTATTCAAAATTTATAAATTACTTTTCAAATATTAACAATTCAAACTAGCATTTTGTAATTTTATAAATGACTTTTTATTTTTTATATATCAATTTTTAATCTTTATCCCAAGACAATACCCAAATCGTTAATTTAAAAGTTCATTCTTTTCATTTTTAATATAAAATTGCCAAATATCAAAAATATTAAAATATTAAAAGGGTGAAGTAATGATTTAAATAATAATATTTAAATTATTAAATACTAAAATACTTATTATTTTAATAATATTTATTAAATTTTATTTTAATAAGACTTCAAAGCATTCAAAACTTCTAAAAAAAACGTTAATATATTTAGTATTTCTAGAAAAATAGTTTATAAGTAAATTAGCGCCAATGAATGTAATTAAAGTCTTACATGTCATTGTGCGTAAGATCCACACACATGTTATGTCAATAACCAAAAATAATTAACAATTAATTAATAGAAAAGTTTTTTGCTTCTTGAAAAAATAATTCAAGAATAAAATTCTTTCACTTAAAAATATAAAATACCCGGCGTTCCTCAAAAATAAGTATGGAAACAAAATTAAATCTCAATCTTAAAGTTACCTCATTAGTAGAATAGACTTAGTGTTCTCCATGAACTTTGTATTTATTCCTTCTTTGATTAACATCTCGGTTTTATTTTTCTGAATAATATCAATACGCCTCTATGGAAACAAGAAAAAAAGGATATTGCATATACTTATTCTTTACCAAATATTGCATATAGAACATTCACAAAGAATAACACGAGTCTTCCTTCTCACACCCTATAATACATTTAAAAGGTGTCTAAATGAAAATAAAATATACCCTACTCTTGAAAATCAGGGCATGGAGTAACAGACCAGACTCAAACTCGAGGTCAAAATCACCACAACGGTGGTGACAACAAAGCAAAACAGAAACAACTACAAGAAGGTCCAAGAGACAAGTGACAATGATGTGACAAATGATTGCAGCAAAATCTTTATTGGAGCCTGATTAAGAGTGCCTCTATTTATTAGGTAAAAGTTGTTAAGGTAACAGGTTTTTCTAGCTCTGTAAAGAAAGTTCATAAAAGAAAAAAGAGATAGTATTGCAAAGTTTGGTTAAAGGGATGGCAGTACACAAGTAGTCCCAAAGAAGGACCTATTTTGGGATCTAACATGCTTCTCTAGGAGCCGAGTCCCATTGTCAGCTTTCCCTTATACATAAAAGAACCACAGAATTAATGTAATTCTCTACACAATGCCTATGAAATGAAGACAGTAACAGCTCTAGGGGACTCTTGTGAGGACAAAATGTCTGGTTACTCGCACTTAATGGATCGATATATGTGACGAACAAAGAGCAAAGCAGCACGGAAACCAACAGTTCCAAGCATCAAGAAGAAACCATAGCATATACAGGCCATGTATCCAAAGAAAAATGAAGTCTGCATGAACCCAGACATATCAGATCGAGCATAGTAGTAATACAAACAGTAGGCATAGATGAACAGGCCTGTCGATCCACCGCACAGGAATGACCTGAAAGGAAACCGTAACCACAGGTCAAGCACAGTGAGCATATAATAAATTTCTCCTGAACACCAGTTTTCATGGACATGATTGGATTGAGTACAATGGAGACTGGGGAGAGAGGATGAAGAAATTTTCTGACATCCTCCCGAATCTAATATTTTCTCTTAGACAAATGTTTGGATCGAAGAGAACGAATTGAAAGGCAAGAATCAGAGATAATTTTTTCTTTTTTAGAAAATGTCTGAACTAAAAATTTCTCTCTTCTCCCCACTCACTTTGAATAGGTTTTAAATTTAAACTAAACAAGCATGTGATAAATAAATGCAGGCAATCTCACCAGTAAAACATGACTTCAAAAAATGAAACTGTTCAGTAGGTAAATGGAAATGCAGGCTAAATAAATGCAGGCAATCTCAACAATAAAACATGACTTCAAAAAATGAAACTATTCAGTAGGTAAATGGAAATGCGAGAAAGCTTTTACTCTCGCAGCTCTATTTTTACTGGAGGATTGCGGTGAGGGTCCACAGGTTCAGAAATATGAATACAGAAGTGACAATGAGGAACGTCTTAATAGATTTGATGGCCAAAACCACAAGAAAAGCGATAGTTTTTTGTTGACAAATATCAAGGCAATCATCATGAACTTTATCACCAATATTAATTGTTAAATTCAAAATTTTGATTTTTCAAAATTTAAATTATCATAGGCGTTCATTTTTTATTTTGAAAAAATTCATATAAAAAATAACAACTAAGAAAATCACAGTTTTA